TGATGTACACTAGAAGCAATCCTCTTTGCAAGTCCATCCCGCATCATTGGTGGTGGTAAATGGGGTCCAATGACAGGTATACACTACAGAAATTGGCATTCAATACTAGATTCCCTCGGTTATTCAATCAGTGTATGGAAACATTACCAGGAAGAGGTAAAGGRGAAAGAAGCCAATCAAGGATACAGACTTGTACTTTGCTTAGGTAAAAATAATAAGTTTATTTTATATTTAATTGATAAATTCTGTCGKACGATAGACTAATATTAAGATCTGTAGCAGAATGTAAACCTATGATTACTGCTATCAGATTAATAATAGCCTTGAGTTCACATATCAACAAAAATTTTATCTTTAAATCTTATCGTTAAACTAATATTAAAAGAGCAAAAATCGTCAAAAAAATGGTTCGAAAAGTGATTCTCAACCCTGGACAGTCCCTTTGGAGAGATGAGAACCCTGTATCGCGTTAGCTATCGTGAAATTTAAGAATGAAGATAAACAAAAATATTACTGTAACAAAGATCAGAAGCTAGTAAGTTTGAAAATGCAATGATGGAAGTGCCCTCTTACAAAGCGTATTGGTTAGAGCTTTGGAAAGCAGYTTTAAAATACCAGGCTGCCTAAAAAAATTCTTTCAATTTCAAAAAATCAGCTAAAGCATTTCCACACTGTGGCTTAACTTGTTTAGCAAGGCGCTTTTTCCAAAAACTTTTTTTGACAATCAAATCACTCTTTCAAAAAGGAATTGCTAACGATTTTCCATGTTTTGATAATGGACATCTTAAAGAATCCTAGAGAAACGGTTATGGCAGAAGTCTATAGAAATTCGCCGAATCCTTTTTTTAATACAAAATATAAGCCAATTTGTTCGATAATATTTACATATGCATGAATGTGATAGTTGATACTAACTAAAGTAAAAACAAGTCCTTTTAAAAGGACACTCATTCCTGCCAATTAATTTCTCGAAGATTCCTAACTAAGATTACATATTTAATAATATCATAAGAATGACAATAAAATACGAAAACAAATATACAATGATAGTCGTCGGTCTGTCTGTCTTTCTGTACGTTATAAATTATCACTCGTTTAAGTATTTTACATAGCAATGTGCCCATATATTGTTYTTTGATTGCTGGGAGACGTGTCCAACGCCTGTAACACACCCTCGCTTAATGCTCAAACACCTTTGAGTTAATACTTTTTGAATGTAATAAGCTAGAGTAATTTTTAAGTCATCTAACCACCCACCCATCCCATATCCCTGATAATTTGCGGGTTATCTTACATAGGGTCATGGTACAAATAATCTCTCTACCGGGTTGAGTGCTTTGAAAACCGGTTAGGCTTCAATTATACTCGAATAAAAACGAAAAACGTGTTCTATTGGGCGATAAGAGGGTTCCTTTATCAAAAGAGGTTATTCAAGCTAATATATTTTATCCTTTGTCCACTTGSAAAACTGCTTGATTCTGCTGACTTTTTCTGTATGGTTCTCACAACATCCTTGATATTTGATCATCGTTGATTGGTTTGCAATTTGATTGGTTATTCCAAAAGGGGTAAGTGTTATTCCAATTGGTTGCGTTTTCGTCGTCGCACGTTGATTGGTCAGTTCCTTGGTTTCGTCAATAGAAGCAAACTACTGATTGGTTGATCACAATTTGATTGGCTTGAATCAACTTAGTRCAACCTTGTGTCGATTTGTCTGTACCGTTCATGTTCCAGCCGTGGACATTTGTTGTTTGTCTTGTTCATCTTTTCATTCTTCGTATTCCTTTTTTGATGATTCTTTTCGTCTGCACGCCTCCTGTACCTGCACTGAAAGCACYGCCACCAGATCCAGCGATGAAACTACTTGGTTGAACAGAGCTGCGGTTGTTCGGAGCAGGTGACCCAAAATTGAATCCACCGCTGGCTGCTGAACGATCAAACAAAGATTTTTAAAGATAAAAATAAATAAATCAAAAAAAAAAACAAACTTAAAATGCTGTCAAGATAAGATATGTATATGTAATATGTATGGTATACACCTAATTGAAAAAACGTTGTCGGGTTCACAAAAAGGTTATATCATCAAAGCTAAGACCGAAGGGGAGCATGGGAAGACAAACAATTATGCTAATTTCATGCGTATTGCAGTTTTTCCTTCCTGTGCACATTTCATGCATTATGCATTTTGTATGTTGTTAATCTAGGTCGACCGACTTTGCTTTGCTGTGCATTTTTACATGTCTATATGCAAATATAATACACATTTCGGAGTGCCCAGAATCCTTTTCGGTCTTAGCTTCGATGATACGACCTTCTCGAACCCGACTACGTTTTTTCGATTAGGTGTATACTATATGATATATAATGGAAAGTATTAAGCAAATAATCACTATTTAGAAATTTGAAATAAAATAAAATAAAATTTAAGGAAATGTATTAAAGAAATTACAAAATATATTATGATAATAATATAGCTATTTTAAAACGTTTGGTGAAGGTTTGTWGCATGTTGCATACCAAGCTTGAAATGTATTGTGAATCATTTTGAAAAAGGCCGCGAGATGGATAGGCGCATCATTGAAAATTACCAATGTAGTTTTGGTATGAGTGAGAAGTGCAA